CATTGTTATTTTGTGTTTGTTTATGTGATATTGATATGAATTTATTAATTAAAATTATGTATAATTATGCTAATTTACCCAACAATCTAAAGCAGCTAAGAACCAATTCTGACCTTTGGTTGGAAGAAGCTTCCGTGAACAAGAATACTCCTTCCAGTCCAAACCAAACAGCAATTTCTTATATCAACTGCATAAACACCATTAAAAACTTAATTCCTGCAATCAATTCAATACAACTCTCTATACCAATTACAACACCACAACTTAAAAAGTTGATCAGACTCACGACAACACTAATAAATATGAAGAGATGATTAGATTACAAACCCAGAGCACGGGAGCTCTGGTTTGTAACAGATACGATGAATCTGACCTGTGAGGATTTCGATTTCAGGTTATACCTGGAAAACCTATTGCTCGAAGGATCAGCCAACTTGAGAACATGGTTTTGCATGCTTTATGCTTGACTATAAACGTGTTCTTACAAGTTGCAACTCTTGTTATGTTGAAACTCTAACTTAACACGTGGGTACCTACTTGGAGGTTTGGCCTTTTATTCATTACTCTAGATTGCCAGTTGGAAGGACATTCACAAGTTTTCTAGCTGACTTTGTTCTCCTCCAAAACCAAGCGCACAAGAATAGCATAATTACTACTAATCACCCGCTTTTACTTCCTTTTTTCTCTTTTTCAGTAATTTGTGATATTACTACTGTAATTATGGTGAAGGTATTGTTCAAATTTTTTGACCTGTCGAAATATAGACTACTTGAATCTTTTAACTGAAACAGTTGTCAATGAGAGCAATTCATGTAGTAATTTAACAGTGAAGTCCACATTGTGAATAATTCTTTAAAAATATTACAGAGCAGTCATCGGTATTTGAAGCTATATTTTTCTCGTTAAATTTAGGTAGCCTATGCGTCTAATATTATTTCAAAATTAGTGAGGGCCTAATAGTTTTGCTGATTGAAATTTTAGATATTAAATCTCAGATCAATAGGTGGTTATCCTTAGTTTTATTGTGAATGTAGAACACCTTTACTTTTACTATAGATATTATGTTTGAAATTATTGGGTACAAACTTCATTGCATGAGTGATAACTAAATCACATTAGTGAGAGGGATCTTAGGCACTTTGTGATCGTTTTTAAAAAAAAGAAACATTCAACACTAACTAGCATTTAGATTCCAACTTTTGACCAGGTTGACACCTAAATCATCTATACGTTCAACTATATATTTAGTATTTTATTTTCAAGTATATCGAGTATGTGATTGGTCATCGGTGATATATATATTTGCCATTGATTGTACAATGGCATTTTGAGTAAACATTATTGAGTCGTTCCTGTGATAGGTATGAATTTTAATACTTGCAACACAATGACTTTTGGTGCGAATGATTGGACTAGAATGGGGATATTGGTAGAGGATTTACTATTTTCAAACACTTGAAATTTTTTTGACAATAATAGAGACATTAATCCTATTAAAGTTTATACCATTATAAAGATTTAGATGGCATATGGATTAATCCAAGAATGTCAAAATGCATGATAAACTTCGGAAAGAGCACTATTTTTTCTTTTTGCCTCAAAAGACAAGAGACATATGGTTTTGTTAATAATGTGATGTCTTTACACAATTAGCTTCGGTGTCAAGGTTTATTTCTTATTGATGCCTTAACATTTTATGTAACCTTTGGAGATAGTTTGGATTTACGTTTTAATGTTTTATGAGAAAGATCGTACATACGAATTGTTCCAAGACTAAGTTCATATTTTTTTTTAGAAGTACTCCTTGAATTCAATTTGTTCAATATGTGATATGAGCCAACAATGGGGCTAGATATTCTTGCAATATGAGGGTTGATGCAAATAGTGCTTTAATGAAGTATGGGTCACTTTAGCATGAGAATTCTTGGAAATGTGGGGGTAAATTTTAAGGTAATAAAATATATATGAAGTACATGCTGAATTTGCTTAATGTTGTTATAAGAGTTTCAAATATATGTGGGAGAGTTTCATATCTAAGGGTTTTTCAAACATATGCATTTTAATGTGTTGTTCGTAAGTGCTATTTGAAAGACAGGTCAAATCAATATAAATGAGAAGATATGAAGGTGTGCACACCCAGCGAGACATGAATATATGAAGAGTAATCATTCTAATATTTATGAAAGCTCAGCTAAACAGAGCTAGCAAATGAATTAAAAAGCTTTCGAGGAAAGCTGTGAGACACAAATATATATAAAGGCTGATTAATTTGATCAGTGAGCTTTCGAGGAAAATCTTGCTTTTGAGAAAAGCTGTCTCAAGAACTGTCGAGGGGGATGAGTCTAAGCCCGCAAGAGAGTCACTTAGGGAGGTAACCCAACTTCTGTGATTGGGGACCCCATGAAGGAAGTTCAATAGATAGAAACAATCCATATTGCGTGACTCATTAGCACCGTTATTGAGAAAATATTCTAAGAGGAGATATTTTCATGCTCATTCTTATGGCAGATGTGCATATGTAGTGTGACGGTAAGGAAGAGTTTTACCCTGAATGAGACTGAGGCAGAAACACTCCTGCAGGGTATTGTGCACATGTACCCTTAGAGGGCTCACCTAAATGAAAGTAGTCGTGGGCCGCGACTATGAGAATTGGGCTATTCTCTAAAAACTCTCATGAGAATCAAGATTAAGTGTAAGACCATTAATAGCACTGACCCGCAAATTCTGACTAATATCGGTACTGTGTGTGTGATAGTTGAACTCTGGCTCAAAGGGTCTAATTCAAACCTTTGGTCACTATGATCCTTCAGGGAAAGAACGTTAACACTAAGTGAGGTTAAAGTTCGAAAGACACCTACACCCATTGCACAGTATAATAATTGCCTATATTTTTTGTCTATTACTTTTATATAAATATATTTGGGTCATTTTGAAATTTTCAAAACTTGTGGGGGATTATTAGAATAAATTAAAATAAAAGTTTTAAAAACTATACAACTAATTATTTTGTATTAATTTTTTAGTTTTTAACTTTATTATTGAAATTTAATTCTTACATGTTCATGTCATTTAATTATAAAATTGATATAAGCTTAATAGTTTGGAAGTTCTATACTAATATATTTTAAAGAGTAATTAAGATGGTGCCTATAAAACAATGTGGTTGTTTTGGATAAAAGATGGATAGTTTTACCATATTTTCTATATGCTTCTCTTCCACCAAGTGTTATTATTCTTTCTATATATTTTTTTTTGCCTATAATTACATTTACATACCTACAAATATTTGGTATTAGTTTACTTTGGGCAACTTCGATTCGAGTCAGATTCATCTTTCCTTTTAGTGGGCGTGACCATTGAAGAGGTGCTACGGCGAGTGTCTAAGTTTGATGGTGTCCGTCAGTACCCTCACGCGGGAATACTCAATTACTTTAAGACAGTGTTCACACGACTCTCGGACTCGCAGACCAGCTTTTTCTAATTTATAATATCTATTTTATTTTCTTTTAAGTACATTGTTATTTTGTGTTTGTTTATGTGATATTGATATGAATTTATTAATTAAAATTATGTATAATTATGCTAATTTACCCAACACTGCCGTCAAGACAAGCCAAAGAACAAAGTAAACAGACAGTGAAAGCTAGCAGTAATGTAATGGTATGAACAACTGAAAGTGATGGTGTAACGAAATTCCTTGAAATTGCAATATTTTTGTGTTGACTAAACAAATTATAATAGCTTTGAGTTTCTTGGAACTTGTTCATTTTCTCGTTCAAAGGTGGACACATATATAGGATAGCAGACTTTTTTGGTAATTTGACCCATGGAGTCAATACCAGTTTACTAATAATAAAGTATTTTGAATTAGATTATAGGTTGGACAATCTGATAAATTTGTTGACTCAGAGCATTGTATGCCGCCTTCAGCAAACCAATTTATGGGGAATACTTAATAATCTGATGATGTAAGCAGCAATAAGATAACAAATAAAAGTTGTTGATGATATGCACACTAGCTAGTAATATATATATATATATATATATGATACCTCATACGGAAAGCTCAACCTACAACATATTTCAAATCAAAGGTAAAGAAAACCACAACCCAACTGGAATAGTTAAGAGGGCTGATTTGGGACTTGGTCAGTGTGAACATTTACATACTTTGCTCCAGGATTAGTATTCAACGGTGAAAGATCTACCATTCTGTGCCTCTAAGTTGAAATCAGACAATGTGCTTTCATGAATATGTGTGTGTGTGTGTGTGAGAGAGAGAGAGAGAGAGAGAGAATTACTGACTGGTATTTGAGGGATCAGCAGTTTATGCTTTAACAAGGTGCCATACTGGTCAGACAGACCAATACCTCCAGTTTCTTAGACCCCTCCCTACACTCTCTGCTATACATAGCACAAAAGGCACATCATGGCAATCTTAGACCCTTCCCTACACTCCCTGCTATACATACCACAAAAGGCACTTAAGGCCCAAAATTGGGAGATGGTACAGAAGAGCTATACTGTGCCGTTGCTGTTACAAAGGATTGATAATGTACCTCAGGTCCTTGCCAGATGTTACTCATATTTTGCAACAACAGCTTCAAAAATACCATCAGACCTGAAGTTGGGAACAAGCAATCTTGGATCAACAGACCCCGGCAGACTGAACGAAAGAGTGAAGGGTCCAGGTGGGCACTGTTGCTGAAATTTTATTTCAAAAACTCGAGAATGTTTTAAAACAGTTCTTCCACCAGTTGATGTCACGCCTACTATATGGACCTTACCATCACGTTCAATCTCGCAGCTAAACAGACCTGCCACAACAAACATCATTAATTCACTGAAGGATACCAAAACGGCATGCATCCTCACAACAGAATGAGCAAAAAGAGGAGAGTGAGCTCAGCAAGGTGTCACGGTTTACTCAGAAACATCAAGGATTGGCATGATGAGACAACCAAACTTAAAGGTTCATGCATGGGCAGTGATCCCCAAAATTTCACCTAAACAAATAGGAATCATCTTAAATGCTAAAAGCACAAAAACTAGAATTATCATCTTGTGCTCCTCCTTATTCTTCCAATCAAGCATAGTAAGAGACCAAAAGTATAAAAGAATCAACCTCCTAGACCCTAGTGATGATTATTTCTCCTTGTCAAAACCAAATCAAACTGAACCAAACAAAACCTTTTCCAAACTATGTGGGAATTCGACTTGTCAAAACGCTCCTCAAACACATGATTAGCAAATCCTAAATCTATCTGTACCTAGAACATGGATTTTGTTACCCTATGAACTAAGATGAACACATGACTCAGCTTCATAAGGGGCCAAATAGGCAGGCTTACATAGATCACGCAGACATTCAGAACGTGAGACAGGGGTAAAGCTTTTGTCTAAAGTGAGAACAGTTTTCTGACTGAACCTTAGAACTAGATAAATACAACCTTGACTCATACATGCCAGTGCATTAGACAGTTAGTTGGGAGACAAATAACTGCCTTTTCTAATCAGGATACTCTTTTAGGCACACATGAAGTTGTATGCAATAGAAGATGTCTGGTTGCTTAGAGGCAAATCTTACTCGGTCACTAGCGATCTTCAAAAGAAGGTGTATATGGATTTACCTCTAGGCTTTCACTTGTGAAGGAAAATGGTGTGAACTCTATCAGCTACATCAAGCAAATTTATGGGTTGAGGAGTCAGTGTGGCGTAAAGTTGACACGTTGTGCGTATTAAAAATGTTTCTTATTCAGGAGGAAATCAATGAGGAGATAATCCGAGAAGCGCCATCTTCTCTAGTCTCTGATCATGTGGATGTCCCAAACTTCTATGCCATGCCTACCATGAAATGTTGTCCACCCCTTTATTTGACTCCTCATTTGCAGCAGAGAAAGATGAAGAGCAGAAGACCAAAGCGAGTAGAACAAAATCCCCTAATGGGGTATTCCAAAGGGGTAACCTAGGTAATGAAAAAGGGGCCCAGAAGTTCAACTAGAGGAGCAACCAATTTTGTCACCAAAGTCATATGTTCCCCAAGTCCAAAGGATCTAGTGCCCAGCTACTGACTCCCGCCGGGACTGCACTACCAGAACCAACTGGGAATGGCCAATAGTGGGCACCACCACTACCCACTGATTAAAGAGTAATTTGTAGATCTTACTTGACTGATTTCAAGGCCACAAAACATTAACTAACAAGGGGATTAGAATTGAAGAACGACCAAGTAGGGGAGATATTTTTGCTTTAAGACCTTTCCTTCATACTAACAACTAGGTATGTCTGAGCTCAGATAAATGGCATTGAATTATAAATCCTAAAGCTAAACCTAACAATACTCAACATAGCATGCATCTCTCGTTGAGGTGTCATCAAAGCCGACTTTGGGAGACTTTTCTTATTTCCAAGGTGCTCACGACATAAAAATTACGTTATTGTCCTTACATGTATCAATTTTGTTTCATGCACAGCACTTTGGTGAATTAAACCCACAGGAATTTCTTGTCGATGTTTATACAAAACCAATAAGCCTCAAGCGTAACATATTTAAAATTCTAAATTTGCATGAGAAAACAGAGAAACTGAAAGATGAGAAACGTACCAGGATCCTTCTTTACTCCTGGTAGAGAGACTCGGAAGAAATATGCAGATTTGCTGACACCAATGTCCACAGCTCCAATAGATGGTCCTGTTCCCCCTTTACCGGCTGTTCCAGTGAAGACAATAGATGCCTTTGAGCTATTCTCTTCTACATTGGGAATGGATAGAAGGGGGATCATGCAAGGCCTATCCAAACTGCTTGTCATTGGAGATGCCGACATTTGTACAGGATCACAGAGGCTACTTTTTCTCATTTCATCTTGTAATTTTGCTGATGCATAGTTAGTTTGGTTGAAATCTTTTCTGGGCACAGTCTCTCCACAATTTTTCAATAAAATTATGTTCAACTTCTTCTCTGAATGAATTGTATCCATGCTGATCATGTATCAAATAACACTATCTCAGTATTTCCAATCTCTGGGCAGGTGCACCCAAACTACGAAATTTTTACTACTTCTTTGAGTCCCACTACTACTTCAAATAGCAGGGATACACATCACCTATCCAGAATCCATAATTAGGTTCACTGGAGTTGAAGTGAACCACCTAGTGTGATCAATGCGACATTGCAGTGAAGAGGTGCAGTACACTACTAGTACAGCATTTGCTACATAAATCTAAAAACAAGTGTAAACTCTCTAGGTTCTTTTAACATCAAGTGTCTAAAACTCTTCAACATCAGATGATTTTTGATTTTGTAAACATTTTGTCTATGTTATTGTACTGTTCCTAAATCAACAGGTACACAATTGTAATAACTAGGAACAAAATGTGAGAGGCATAGAGAAAGACTTTACCGGCTTAGCTCTGAAGAGAAAGGAACGGTGAAATTGCAAAGCAAAAACAAAAAGCTTTTGCTGAAACACAAAAATGACCGCAATCCGAGACACAGTGCATCAATCAAGATCACAGCTACCGTTTTTCTTTCCTTGCTCGAGGACCATATGGCCCAACGCCGGCGGTGCATTATTATATACTCCGCTGTCTCTCTCTCTCGAACACCAGTAGGGTGGGACACGTGGACATCACTATCTCAGTTTTTTCTCTTTCTTTTTGTTTTTGAGAATAACAACTCTCCCTTGCTCCTTCCTCCCCAACCGACATAAGTAAAAATTGAGCTGAGAAATAGTCATTTATTCGTATTGTTCTTGCTTACAAATATTACATGAGCTTATTGATTACATCCTTTGTAGGGCTGTTAAACCAAATCAGCTAATCGGATTCGGTTCAGGCTCGATTTATTTTAAATTAATTCAAACTTTCTCATTTAATAAAATGACTCGAATATGAAAATTTGTTTGAGCTTGTTTAATATATAAATCAAGTCTGAGTAACTTGCTAGGTTTGCGTATTATCCTCGTACAATACTATTTGAGTTAGGGCTCTTCATCATTTTTACCAACTCACCTCAATTTGAACATCAATTTTGAGCTTGATTTCGTTTACATCTAGAGTGAGGTTGTACCAACCATAAACATATTTTTAGATAGAATAATTTCTTTATTAGCAATTGTTTACATACTGTCGATCAAAATTTAACAGCTATACAAATTTATTAGAAATCCTCAACAACAGTTTGTGTATTTTTATAATTGCCAAATTTTGATTGGTTGTATATAAACAATTGATTTATAAGTTGCCTGTAAAAAAATTATTCTTATCTTGAAAAAGGGGTGAGATAGAAGAGTGCTTTGATTTTTGAATAACAAGAAAAAGGTGAAGAAATGAGGGAGAAAAGCTAGAAAAAAGGAGAAACAATCGAACAATGAACAGAGGAGAAGGGGGATGCATCACTAGCAATCCTGATGGCCAGTGCTGGCGAATGAGGCGTTAGCTAGGGTGTGGTTTGGAACCCTGAACTCCTCTCGTCAAGGGTTTTCCAATAATATCTGGTTTTATTAGTTTTGACTTTGTTTGATTATTGTATATTTAATAACTAGTAATTGTTCGTGCCTGAAGACACGATGTAACAAACAAAAAAATCAAAAGCGAATACATATGCATTAAGAGACCATATGCCATAAAAAATTGTCAATTAAAAAAACTAAGAAAAAACATTGATAAATATAATATGAGTCCATTATTTTTTTAAAAAAAAATTGATAGAGTACAAATCAAAACAATCTCAAACATTGTTCAATGACTGTTTAATTATTAATTGATATCCAAATTATAGTAAACCTAAATCAATTAAAACTAAAATTTTAACACTCTATCGGGTTAAATTACACTTTTTATCCTCATAGTATGTTGATAGTTTAGAGAATGCTCGTGCCTCTAAATATAATATTTTTTTCTATTCTTCCAAATAATTACGGCTAAATTCTCTCTAAAAATAAGACTCTACAAAAATATGAAAATGTGCAAACCTTATTAAGTAAAGATGTTTTTCATATATCATACTTCAATATATTCATGGGGAGATAGCATGTCATCAATGGAAATTGGTCTTGATCAAATTTCCACGATTAAATTCAACTATATTAACATTATCAAATTGAGAAAATAAATACATAAAATTTGAGTCCCATAAAGAATTCAAGCAAAGTCCTTTAAAAATACAACTATACAAAACTATTACCACTAATACCACCATTACCATTATTACCACTTAGCCTAAATTTTTATAACTAATTAAATTTTATTCTCAATTTGAAATTAAATCTAACCAAGTCAACTATTTAAATTAATTTTGCTATTTAATTCAAACCAAATTTCATCAACTAAGTTAATTTTATGTTGCACAAATTTGTCCCAAAAGCTTTACCCCACCACCACCCATCTATCACAACTTCGAGATTAACTATCACCACTAAGACAACCACCATTACCACTTCCAAACCTAAAATATATCTTCAGCAACTATCGGTACCGCTTCGAGAAGGCGAGCTCACTTTTAACTACAGTCCAAGCTAAATAATGTATCAAATTGACAACAAATCAAATGAACTATAAGACATATTGACAACAAATCAAGTTGAAATTTAGTATACTGCAGGAATAGTGTATAACTTGTGAAATTTATGAATGTGCACAAAACATTAAATTGAAGTCAAGATTTAAAATTTTTTAGAGAGAATAATATTTAAAAACATAGACATTACAACCTAAAGGATCTTGAATAGCAGTATGGAGAACTCATTAAACATCGTGCATATACCTCACAGTGGTTCTTGTCATTTTTACTTTCTTTTTATGCAAACCGTTCCCAAATGTGCCAAAAATACAAAAGGCTTGACTTGATCAAAAGGTCTCCTTGGTTTTTCCAAATTTCTTTGTAGTTTTTGGACAAAACAAACACTAAAATATATGAACTCATCCTTGTTCACAAAGGACCACTTAGCCTGAATCAATCTTAGGTTCTCATATCCTAGAACGTACAAAAGAAGATTGTAAATAATCTAAAAATATGTAAAACTAAAAAAAATAACAAACTCAAAACAATAAACCACTTTTTTAGGAGATCATTAACCCACTGGAGTTGTGCCATTGCTAATCGCTGGAGTTGCACTGTCGTGCTATAAATGGTCGCTACAGCAAACAAAGTAAGTTTGCTAAAACATAAGAATAATGTTTGGCCCGCTCATTGAAGCAATAATACAAACACTTGGTGTTGCGGTAATTATGGTGGGTTTCAGTAACAATGTTTGCATGTGGGGATAGGGAGGTGTTTGTTGGCTAGAGAAGTTTCGGTGATAGTGGTGGGGACTGGGAAAGAAAGGCGGTGGAGGCGCTGGTTGGCTATAGGTAAGAGTTTGACTTTGGATATATATGGTGTTTGGTGGGTTGTTAAGAGTTTCGGTGGCAGAAGGGAGAGGGAAGGAAGGGTGGTTAGGGTAAGGGGAGGCATACGCAGAGAAAGAGAGAGAGGGAAGGATATCCGGGTGAGGCTTCAAGATTGTCGATGATTAATTATTTTGTCTTCGATGGTGCCTCCATAATATTGCTGTGAAAAGAAAGGGTTTGGATGAGGAAAAAAAAAAAGAGAAGAGAAAGAGGCGCTGGTGGCTACAGGGGCGGCTTAAGCCAATTTAAAACCTAAAGCAGAAAAATTATATAGAGGCTTTTTATTTTTAGTATTATTTTTAAAAAAAAATTAATTTATTTTTAATTTTCTATGTGAGAGGGAAACAAAAGAAGGATGTGTTAATATTGTCGAGAAAGATATTTCAACTTTTATTTTTATTTTTTACCACAGCGAAGGAGAGAGAATGTTTAATTTTCACTTTTTTTTGTTTTTTATTTTTTTTACTGGATGGAGAGAGAGGGAGAGAGTGATAAAGTGGATGAAAGTAAATATGAGTTGACTTTTGAGTGTTTTTTTTTTAATTTCTAACCTTTTAATGTTATGGATTGGATTATAGGCCCAAATTATTACAATAAAAATTTTGATTAGATTTAAATTTTTGAAGTGTTTTTGTTGGGCTTAAAATTTAATGAATTTTTTTTTTTTATGCTAGTGATGTACCTAAAATTATAGGGCATTTTAAAAATTTGGGACCTAAAACCCATATTTTTTTTTCCCATACTGTTGTGTCAACCCTGGGTGACTATTCGTTGGCGGCAAAGATAGAGAGAAGGAACAATGAAAGAAAAGAGGGAGGCAAAGGAGAAAGCGGATATCAGAAATAATTAGATAAAAAGATCGAGATGGATGCAAGTGATAAAGGAAAGCAGAGTAAATAATATAATATCATCATTATATTAAATATTCTGGAGATGTGATGTGAAAAAGTGATTTCTCTGATATGAAAAGGATATTATTATTAGTAGCATGAGCGGGGGTCAAATATTAAATATGGACGTTAATTTTAGATTTGAATAGAATTTTATATTTAGATGACATTGATTTTGGGCAAAATTGAGAGGCGAATTCAATGCAGGGGTATCCATTTTGGAAACTAAAAATTTTGAGCAGCAAAAATTTCAAAAGGGCTAATGTGGTATGTCGGATCAAAATGATCTGAGACATCAATAGTTTGAGAAAACGCCGTCCATTGGATGATAACTTTTTTTTGTTACAAAACAATCTAGGTCGTTCTTTGTCTCTAAAATTCAAAATCGTTCTACTTTATAATATAGATTATTTTACCTCTTTCGGATCCCATTTGTGCAACCTACACAATTTTTGGCCAAATGAAAAATATTTATATGTTTTAATAGGTTTTAGGTACTTATATTTGAGTTGCCTCTAAAAATTTTGATTGTTTGATTTTTGACAATTGTTTGAGATAACAACTTACGATTGTTAGAGCATCTCCAAGGGGGCTATCTAAAATAGCTACTCAAAATATATTTAAATATTGTATTATCTATTTTAGCTAACCAATTTTTCAAATTCACTCCAACAATGTTATCTATTTTAGCTAATCATTTCAACTAACTTTAACTAACTTTCAATAATAAAATCTAAAATAATATTTAGTATGTCATGTCATCACTATATTGATGACATCATATGCTGACGTGTTACGTTACATCATCAAAATTTTAAAATTTTAATTTTTATTAATAACGGTCATATTTACAACAGTCACGAAATTCAAATTTTTAAAATTCTGAGTTTTTCAACAGTCATATTTACAATGCCTATAAGATGAGACAAGTGCATACATTCAAGTGCCAATCAAGTAGCAGAGTTTCCCTTAGTGTGTTGAATCAAGTATGAATATTTGTAAGACACTGCTACTGGAAGCTTAATATATCAAAAGGCCAAGGATAAGATGTATATGGAGAAAAGCAATTAAACATGAATGTATGCTAGCTAGTGATTTACTGGCTTGCTACATCTATGGAGCGAAAATGGGGTTATCTACTTTAGATAGTCTTTTATCTAGTCCCTTGAAACAATATTTTAGGGGAAAACTATGTAAAATAGCTAAAGGAGAGGGTTTAGATAGCCTCTTGGAGATACTCTTATAGGTTACTCCAGTTTTACTTTTTGAACTTACACTTTCTAACTCTTTT